AGTAGGAGCAAATTTTATCCTTGCAATTGAACCTACTTTACTATCGTAACTCCTATATATAGTAGAATGAGAGGTTCATCAGAGAGTCAAAATTTCGACTCGGGACGCGATGTCGATATAACACGGTTTAAAATTACAATAAAATATAATTTAATCCGTTATTTTGTTATGAGCATTTATGCGAGCCTTGTATATCGCGATTTATAAAACGCGGCATTTCTATGAGACGGAATATTCGCGTTATATGAAAGTTACCTTTATATATGTATGTACATGGAATACAGCCTCAATAAGACGTTTTCCACAATACAGATGTTTACATCGTGATATATATTCGTCATTTCTCAAAAACGATTGTCCTGTAGTTATCGAGTATCTATCGAACAAGCAAGATCGTGGATATCCTTAGACACATTTTGACCTTATATAATAATAATTCTTGTGTTTCCGGTTTTAGATTTTAGCGAATAGAATTATTATCTTAAACATGGTAAGTCATTTTAAACTTGTATACTATTTGTTGAATATTCATATTTGTTGGCAAATGTAAATGTTATCTTCTGTCATACGCTGACAAAATATGGAATCCGTTTTTTATATATAACCTTTCTTTGTGTTTTCTATATATAAAATATATATGTACTTTATTTTCTTAGTTATTGTACATTATTATTACATGAATAATACAAACTAATAATTTAAAATGAGTTAATAATAGTTTTTTACATTGACGTAATTTGCAATGTATGACATACTAAAGTATTATAACGAGCTCACAAAATGGGAACAAGCTTTTGTAAGTAAAGCTTTGTTTGTTCAAATAGTATTTTGTCATAAACGTTCAACACACTTTAGACTCTTCTATTTTCAATCGTCTTTCTATATGGTAAATTTATGAAATTAACACAATCATGAAAAATTATTATGTAAGTGTACGTGTATGCGTGTACGTGATAAATATAAAGACATCGCAGCATAGTGATAAACATGTTTATAACGGTCATATACATCTGTTATTGGCAAAAATATCAAATATATAGAAACCAAGAACTCGCAGGACGAGATTGACAGTTGAAATGAATCGTGTAAAGTGTATTTTTTGTGGATGTTTCGATCTTTAATTGTAGATCATCTTCATCACTGCATTAAGATATAATAATAATAAATCAAAATAAAAAAACAATAATGCACTTACAAGAAATAATAAATTGAAAATAAATAAGTACGCACCTAAATTCAAATAAGTCACAACAATGAACCGTCCAAATTGAGTTGGCAAGAAAACCAAGTCAAAGTGACCGACAATCAACATACATGTAAACGATGTTCATATGTCGTTTCTTGGTTTAATTATTACAGACTTCCGACACATGAACATCGTTTACATGTATGTTGATTGTCGGTCACTTTGACTTGTTTTTCTCCCCAACTCAATTTGGACGGTTCATTGTTGTGACTTATTTGAATTTAGGTGCGTACTTATTTATTTTCAATTTATTATTTCTTGTAACTGCATTATTGTTTTTTTATTTTGATTTATTATTATTATATCTTAATGCAGTAATGAAGATAATCTACAATTAAAGATCGAAACATCCACAAAGAATACACTTTACACAATTCATTTATTGGTTTTTATATATTTGTTATTCTTGTTTTTATTTCTTCTAGCCGTGTTTGTTAAATTTTATTGTTACTAACAATTGTATGTGAAAAACAATTTATGGCCACGTTTAGTAAAGCAATTACTGAATTGTCTTGTCAATAGTACACGTGGAGTAACCGGTTCTAAAAGTAAGAGTCAATTATGTTCGATTGCTATAAAGCAGCTTGTTTTACTGAACGAACCCATTTATTCTATACAATTTAACTTCGTTGTTGCAATTTTATAAAATATTTCTTGTTTAACAAACACTTTATTTTTATAGGTCCACATTACGCAGATTCTTACAGTTTTTGGTACTTTGTGCCTAATATTTCTAACCGGAATTGCTTCTTCGACTGATAAGACTTTATCTGGAAACTCACAGTGCATAGAACCGATATCCTATGAAATGAAGATTTTTCCGCTAATACAAAATAACTCTTTTAGGGTTGAATCTCGCGTCAAAATAAACGTTACATGTATACAACAAAACATAAAATTATATTTCGGTCGTTATTGTGATCAACCGGAAATTTCTATCAAAAGTGATATACAATATTTAACTCCTTTGTTGTTACAAATAAACTCGGTGTTATTTTATACGGAAGATCGATTCAAATTCTTAAATATCACAATTCTTCCCTTGAATATTAACAGCGAGAACATTAAAATACACAACCGAATAATATATTTCCAAAGTGGAGAATATTGGATACATGCAAAATATAATTGCAATTTAGAGAAAGTTGCAACGGTTTTTTCATATGTCCAGCAATCTGAAGAAACACAGTAAGTTACTACTAAGTTGTGAAGAAGTGATTAGTATTATGTTTATCCTGTTAAAGAATAATTTATACATATTACTAGTAAAGGAATACTTTATATCTAGCACTCATGTTTTTACTATACAGATATTTGATTTTGCCGCGTATTCCCAATGAATGGATATTTCCATTATGGAAAAACCCAGCAATTAAAACCACATTTAGTATTCGAATTTATCACACCAGCGATGAAAGAGCTTTTTCACATATGGCTGGTGATACAAAAATTGAAAAAAATACGTCCTGTACATACTTTCTTTCTACTTCTGTAATGTCTACTCATTTAGTAGCAATAGCAGTCGTACCTTCTACCGTAGCCAATTCCTTTAATTTTTTTGAAGGAAACATTATAATAAACAGAGTACAGATGAACAGTAAATTGTCATATGCACAATCTCTTATTACAAATATCAAGCATCATGTTAGTAAAGCTTGGAAAGATGTATCATTGTCACGTGTTATTTACGCAGCATTTCCAATAAATTCTAGCCATTACGAAAGTGTAATAACTAAAAATCATGTTTTCTTCAAGTAAGATACTACTCAAGACAATAAAACGAGTTTATAAACAGATGTACCAAAAATGACACGATTGCACGCCAATGTTTTTTAGTGAAGCTGAAATTACATACGATGAAGAAATAGACTCACTTGCACAAAAAAAAAAAGTAACATGTTTGGTAGCACGTAATGTAATACAAGAAATGTTTACTGATTGGTTACTTTCATTGAAACAGTCTGATTCTTGGTTTATGGAAAGTTTTTCAGCATTTTATGGAGTGTATATTATCGATCAGGTAATTCATATTATTATCATAGTCGTTTACATTTGTAACTTAAATGGTTTGTTACACACAAATATTATTCATAATAAACTTTATCCTATTATTATATGTATACTTACACTATTGTAACATTTCCGTATAACACTGTTGTACTATTACTCTTTTACATTTTTATTAAGATTGAAAATTATTACATAGGTATGTATTAGATTCTATGTATACATATGTATATGGATATCTTTATGAGTATATACAGTATCATCACTTTCTACGTTTAACCCAATAACTCTAAAACGCAACTTTATTTATATTAGAGAAAAGCAGGTCAACAGTTTAACACTTTATGTTTTTCTAGATAAAGAAACTTATTGTTTTCGATTTTACCTTATGAATATTTTACTTATAAATATATTTTTTTATTATTTGTTTATTAGAAGAACGTCAATTTTGAGTATATAATAAACTATAAATTTTTGGGTGCGTCTCAGATAGACACAAAATGAAACGGATACGGCAAAATGTGTAAATCAGACACAGACTCAATCGCACACGACAAGATATGGACACAGAACTGAGACAATTGAACACAGTTACGATTGAACACAAGTTAAGACGGATACACGACATTTTCAATCGGACACACAACGCTTGACATATTATATTGGCAAACATTGACAAGCAACGTAACTAAAACTAAAACAAGACTTCATATAGGTTTTAACTTTCCACGCAAATCGAAAAGAAAGTGCAGGCCGCCTTTGACTACACGTTTACAGTACAAACAATCAGACCATAAAAAAAGTAATCTTGTTTTAATACTAATGTGTCCGATTGAGACTATCGTGTGTCCGTTTCATCTCTTGTTTGTTTCAACTTGTGTCCGATTGAAACTGCATCCGATTGCGACTGTGTTCGATTTATACATCTTGCTTTGCCTGTTTCATTTTCGAGTTTATCTGGAACACACCCGTCTGTGACCCTTATTTAAATATACATAGAGAGTGTCGATATATACACATTTTTACATATAGAAACATATAGGAGTAATGCGTGTAAAATATGTATGTACAGAACACAAAACCAATATAACGTCTGTGTTAAATATTACAAATTTTTTTTAAAATGTTTACTATTTTGTTATATATATAGTTAGTGTATGCTCATATAAAGTTTTTGTATCTTACTTTATGCTAAAACATGATTTGTACTGATAATACGCTGCTTTTAGAATATAAAATGATTTACTAACAGATGTCATAGATTCAGCTTTTTTCACAACTGTATTGGTCAATCTGTATTATTACATAAAACTGTATTGTATGTGCGTACAATAGCTGAGTTAAATAAATAGTATTTGTATACTAATGAAAACTATTGTAGATGTTTGGTCACTCTTTACTGAAGTCGCTAATAGTCCAAACACGACGAGAAATTCTTGATTTTATAGAAGCATATACTACACATAATTTTCCAGGTAAAGAAATATCACCGTTCATATCTCCAAGCTCGATTTTTATCGAATTGTGGCGAAAGAGTGGTAAGAGAATCACATTTATTAAGTACATTTTTACTTCTTTTACATTTTACATATAACTTGCCAAATTCAGCTGTCGATTTAAGCCTTTTTTATGTGTGTGATAAAAGTTTAATCAAAGATTTTTTATTCAAAACGGATGCATACTGTAATGTACTATTTTTGTCACTTTTTGTTACTTGTACAAACAAACAATCAAAAAAAGATTTAAATATATTTTTTATCGTCTGTCAAAGAAATATATAAACCAAAAAATACAAACCACAAAGGTTTAGGATTAACCCGTTACTATTTTGTATGCGTGTTAGGTCACGTAGATCGTAGAAAATAACTATCAAAATATTTTAAACAAATAAAAAAATAACCAACGCAAATAATATAACTTCTTTTATTTAATATATGCACATACACAATAGTAGTCTATGTAGATTTTGAGTGAATTGTGTACATTACTTTCATGATATAAAAATTTACAGCCATTAATATAGATAAATTTTTAAGTATAAACTTAAACTTATTATACAATCGGAATTATTTTGTAGCACTCAGTATATTTTACATGGTCACTGACATGGACAAATATGTTCTATACAACTCCATGTTTAGAGAAGCCATAAACATACATCATAACACGTGAGTATAAAAATTATCATAATTTGTGCAAACTTTATACTTGTGTATTTCATATTATACGGTATCGTCAAAACGTGAAGAAAATATTATCTACTTTCTGGAAACTTTAGTAACTACCATCAACACTTTTGTACTCTTGTTTGTTATTAGTTCATCAAGTGATACATATAATACGCAGTCAAATTTTGATATTTTATGGAGCAAATTACTATCTGATATGTCTACGCACAAAAATATGTTTTTCATGAGAACTTTAACAACTGTGATAACTTCTTGGACACACGTTGGTTATCCTATAGTACAAGTAAACCGACACAATAATACACGGACTCTTGAAATAGTGATTAGAGACTGTTTTCTAAGTAATATGGAAATATCTTGTGTAAGCATGTGGTGGATACCTGTGAACTATATAACAATATTACAGCCTAATGTCAAATATCACTCGTACTTACAACCAGACGAAAACAATATTATAGTTCCGAATATTGAAGAAGATGATTCTATCATTTTTATAGATATACCTGGTAATATTTTCACACACATGGCTTATTTAGTTGTGTCTTTTGCTTTTACATAGTATTTTTTAAATTCCCATCACTGTATTATAGTTACTGTTTCTTGTTTTATTTCTTTTTCTTTGTCTTTCTAATATTTTCACTTTGTTTTCTTTTGTCACTCTTACTAAGACTTAAATGTTGTAGGATATCGCGTCAACTACGATCAAAAATCTTGGAAGAATATTGCTCTCTTCTTGAAAACTACAACATTTAATATGTTCAATTTATCTGACGTCACAGTAGCTCAAATTCTCGACGATGCTTTTTATTTTTTAATACAAAATACAGATTATAATGAAAATTTTCATTTAAATAGTACTGATAATCTAGACATATTTTTTGATATTGCAAACAGTGTATTTCACGTAAACAATTCTTACATAGCTTGGTATCCTATATTTACTGCTTTTGAGTACTTATCAAAGATTTTCCCGTTTCCAGACAGTGCATACATCAAGGTAAATAATATTTAATTTTTAAATAAATTAAATGCTACAAAAAGATAGAATTAAATGATAACTAAGTTTCTTAAATTATTCTTGTAATATAATCTACCGAACTTTGTTACATTAGTTTGTACTTTTGCAATGGATACACAAAAAATTTTGTATAGAAGATTATAAATAAACAAATTGTCTTTACCATAAAAATCCAAATAAAAAAATAACACTAGATAAAAAGATAAATTATATTTATTAGATAAAATGTTTGTTGATAAATATGCCCATACATATGTGTGTTGTAAAAAAACCTTTGATATATTAAACAAATAGTAAATATTAATTATTAAATATCTGGCTTTTTCAACAATGTATAAGTTCAAGATAAAGAAGAAGAAACATTTACGTGTACATAAGCGTTTACTAGAAACATTGAAATATGAAAATGTGTTAGATATAACAACTAACTAATTCAAAACTTTATTTTTACATAAATATTTTATAAACATTTAGTAAATAAACTTACGTGTAAAAATTATATCATAAAACGAACTTATATATTTTGATTTTTTAGTATAGAATTCTGGCTGTATTAAATAAGTTTCTTGAGGATTCGTCGCATACACCTTCTTCCGAAAATAATGTCACTAATCAGTTATATTACGAAGTTTTAAAATGGACGTGTATTCTTGATGGTTTAAAATGCAAAGATATTGTTATGGCTGAATTCAAGTGGCATGTACAAGATCCTGCAAGACACAAGTACGTTACTTTAGTGACTCAAGAACAAAATGATTTTGTTATGGACGTTACTTGGTTGTAGTTACGTTGATTTACGTATATCAGACTATCACATGAATTTTGATATGTTGTTGTTATTATTATTATTATGATTATTATTATTATTTTTATTATTATAAAAAACACAATATCATGTTAGTAGATTTTTGGTTAAGTAAAGTTATACATATTGTTTCTTTGCAGACTCTTGCCAAGTTGGCAGAGATGGATGATTTGCCAGAGTGTAATATTAGAAAATTCTTATTCTCTATCTGATGTATGGATTACACTATTGCACATGTATAAAGAACAGTCAAAAGTAGAAGAACTGTTCAATTTCTTACCTTGTTTTAGACATAACACCAATATTTTATTAACTTTCTTTTTGCTTCCCTATTCTTTTCTACCATTATATGGATATAATTTCAACATAAAAGAAAGTGATAGTATTACTTTTCTTTATAATACGTTTGCAAAGCATATAAAAAGTGTTGGATCGCTTACATCTTTATTACACGTAATAGAAAGTATAAAAGAAACAAGGTAAACAAAAGTAATTTTTGTATATAGATCTTTGCATGATTGCACAATAATTGTTCTAAATAGTTTGTATATTTATATTAGATATACTCATTTTTTACGAACATTTTTGTAGTGTATCATATAAGAGTATATTTTGTGTAGTATAATAATAAATAAATTCTATGTATTACTTGTTTGTTTCATGTTTTGATAGAAACATTAGCATAGCTGCAATAGTGACCTGTATTATTAATCACGTGTATTCAAATGAAATCCTGGCAAAAGTACGTATATTAATAAACTTACGAATGACCTACTTGAGTGCTTTAGCTATACAGGGTGATTCAGAACGACCCGTTATCCTTGAAAATACATATTCTTGACTAAATTCTAAGACAACTTTTTATCTGGCAAAATTTTGTCTGAAACTTACTTTTTGAGTTATTAATAAAAATAGTTGACTTACCACAAGTCGGATACAAGAAGTAGGCAGGGGCGGCGCAACTCACCATCAGACGCGAGCGATTACGTGTGGTGCCTAACGCGATCACCTGATCGCTACGCACTGTTTCTATCCCTCACTCTCTCTCTCTCTCTCTCTCTTTCTTTTACTTATTTATTTACTCATTCGTAATTTGTATCATTTAATCCGTGCATCACATAAATCACTGTCAATCACGGTGAGTTGCGCCGCCCCTGCCTACCTCTTGGATCCGACTTATGGTACGTCAACTATTTATATTAGTAACTCAAAAAGTAAGCTTCAGAAAAAATTTTGCCAGATAAAAAGTTGTCTTAGAATTTAGTCAAGAATATGTATTTTCAAGGATAACGGGTTGTTCTGAATCACCCTGTATGTGTAATTCATAACTTTTAGTTTTTATTTATGTAATGTTTTTACATGCGTACGTATGTTAAAATCATGAAGTAGTCACCATATCTTTACTTACTTTTGATATATTCAGAAATAACATTACTATGTAATATTGAGTGTTTTTATACAGTGCACATGCATCACATTCAATGATAACAATACACAGTATTTTCAGATTACCGATGAAAATCTCTTCCAAAAGCTGATGGACTTACATCGCACGGTAAATATTTTTAATACTTTATATAATATTTAAAATATTATATAAATATCTTAGTTTTTCAAATTGTGCAGTATTTTTGCTATTCGTAGAGATGTGAATTATTGTTTGCGTATAAACATTTAGTATGGTTTAGTTTTTTTTTTACATATATTTTCTACTATTTATCAAAGTTATGCACAATTATACACAATTTAGTTATAATTATATTCTGTAATTTGTTTTAGCCATCGTTAATTATCGATGCCATTAAAAAAAAAGTTATTACTCGTCGCAATTTTCTAGTTGACATAAGATATAATTTTCGTAAAAAACCTCATGATGCAATTTACAGATATTTATTTTTCCAATAATGTGCTTTGTTATTTAAATGTATAAAATCTACCATTTACTAGTGTTGTTGTTTAATACTTATATCACATTTGATTACTGAGTAGTTCTATTTTATGACAACAAAAACTAATTAAAACTTATACTTAAAATTGGTAATACATATTACGAATTTTAGTATAGTTAATAATTTGCGCCAGTTGTTCATAAAATAAATTCGGATTCTCAGTAAGATATAATAATTAATAATAAGTTGGGTGACTGAATTTTGTTTGTATATTTAATATATAGCACTATTCTGCACCTAAATGAATAAATAAACTACACGCTATGTAAAAGAATACAATAAATATTTATATACAATTATGAAAGTAAGAAAATTTCTATCTTGGTTATACTATTATGTGGCAAAATATANTAATCACTACTGCAATAAACCAGAAAATGGTGAACGTTAATTATAATCTATTATCTTAATTGTATTAAAAAGTTATTTGTTACAACCTACTAATTTTTAATAAAGAGAGCATTTGCAATTACATTCTCTTGTACCTGTCTAACATTTCTNCACAAAGTGCATTTTTTTTATAAGTTACAAATGAACGCTTTTATATGCAATATAATGAGATACTTTTTTTCTACAAAAAATGTGTTACTACCAGATTAAACTTTTTTGCCTGCACTTTTTGTCGTTCATTTTTTTTAAAGTATACATCTACCTTACCTGTAAGTATAATCTCTGTTGTAACAACAATCTTTTAAACNTACAAATTATGTATTTTGTTGTAATTTGTATTTGTCGTTTAACTTATTTAATACTTCTACATATCTATATAATAATATAGTCGACTGCATAACTTTTTACATGTACATTTTCTATTGAGCGTTTAGAATAGTCATGTAACATGCATTACACTGGTACACTCGGACACTCGCAAGTTTAAATATTATATATTTATTACAATACGTTGAAACTTTGTTCAAGGAATACGCGTTATTGCGTGATTTTATCTTTTTTTTCTGTCTACTAAAGATAAATTGATGCAATATAGCGCAGATATAGCTGTCTTTTGTAACGCAACATCTATTTACCAGTTTNCCTCAAGTATCAATCAAAAGCAAAGGTGATGCACAATCTTGGTTGAAGATCATTACTTTTTATCATATGATTTGGTTTTGGGTATCCAATCGTGCTTTTGGTATGTTTCTTAACATAGCGTAACCCTTACTTGATGTGATATAACTTGTACGTAATTGTAGAGCTCTGTTTAATAGTCTCTACTGTAAGTGGAATAAAAAATCGCTGTTTGTAAAAATATGATATAAAACGAAGAAATATTTTTGTGTATTATGGCAATCTTCACTGAGTAAAAAAAAGAGAGTAAAGAATCGGTCTGTGCACAGAGAAAGAAAAGAGCGCAAAGTGGCAATAGCGGTGCTCACGAGAGTGATGTGATTGTTGCTAACAGGNATAGCTGTACAGTAAAGTGGTACAAAAATGCGCAAATCGGAGAATTTTCTGTTCGTTCTGATTCTATTCTCTTACTGAATTTAGTGTAGGTTTTAAAGTTTTTTCTGCTCTGATATATGTATTTTTTAGAGGGTAACCTGACATAAGGCACCGTAGTAAAGTTTTTAAGAAATTTTGCGGCTGCTGCACTTAGCATCATACATCCAGAAAAATAGATGTAGTAGAAAAGTAACAATTACTTTTAAAAAATACATATGTAATTTCTTTGACTTTGTGCTGCACTNATTACAAAAAAAAGTTCAACTCTTGACCGTACAAAATCACGTTTAATTTGATTGTAAACTTTCATTNTTCAGCGTTATGCGTTTAATACTGAGCGTATACATTCAAGTTGAACGTGATTTCGTACGGTACAATCGATAGGTGAACGTTTTTTCCGTAAGAGAAGTACATTTAAAAACTGTACCGCATTTTTTAAATTTGATTTACTATATTTGTTTAAAGAAACGAACATTGAACTTATCATCTTCAATGCAACATCATATCTAATAAAAGTATTCGCATATTTAACAATGATAATACATATTTCAAAAGTCATATTACAATCACTCTGTACTATCACTGTGCAGTTAATCTTTGTATAACGCGATGTCGATATAACACGGTTTAAAATTAAAATAAAATATAATTTAATCCGTTATTTTGTTATGAGCATTTATGCGAGCCTTGTATATCGCGATTTATAAAACGCGGCATTTCTATAAGACGGAATATTCGCGTTATATGAAAGTTACCTTTATATATGTATGTACATGAAATGCAGCCTCAATAAGACGTTTTCCACAATACAGATGTTTACATCGTGATATATATTCGTCATTTCACAAAAACGATTGTCCTGTAGTTTTCGAGTATCTTTCGAACAAGCAAGATCGTGGATATCCTTAGACACATTTTGACCTTATATAATAATAATTCTTGTGTTTCCGGTTTTAGATTTTAGCAAATAAAATTATTATCTTAAACATGGTAAGTCATTTTACACTTGTTTACAATTTGTGGAATATTTATATTTGTTAACAAATGTAAATTTTATCCTTTGTCATACGCTGACAAAAAATGGAATCCGTTTTTTATATAAAACCTTTCTTTGTGTTTTTTATATATAAAATATATATGTACTTTATTTTCTTAGTTATTGTACATTATTATTACATGAATAGTACAAAATATTAATACAAAATGAGTTAAAACTAGTTTTTTACATTGATGTAATTTGCAATGTATGACATACTAAATTATTATAACAAGCTCACAAAATGTGAACAAGCTTTTGTAAGTAAAGCTTTGTTCGTTCAAATAGTATTTTGTCATAAACGTTTAACACACTTTTGACTTTCTTTTTTTAATCGTTTTTTTATATGTCAAATTTATGAAATTAACATAATCATGACAAATATTATGTGAGTGTATGTGTACGTGATAAAAACATAAAGACATTGCAGCATAGTGATAAACATACTTATAACTGTTATATATATATATCTTTTGGTGGCAATTGTGAACAAACACTTTATAGCCGCGTTTAGCAAAGCTAAAAGCTATAGTTGCTGCATATACGATGTTGTAGTATAATATATACTTATTATATAAACTAATAACTTTTTTACATAGTAATTGTAACTTTGTTACTGTGATAGCGACATTAACATTTGCGCAATAATGAAATGTATTTTTAACAACATATATTTAGATAAAGGCCTGTTTATGATACACAGTTTGTCCGGAAAGTTCCCGGACTGATTTTTTCTAGCGCGGGTAAGCGGCGCTATCGAGCGGTCAACGCTGGAACTACTTAGTATAG